GGAAACAAAATTATATGCTCAATCCCTAATATATACAGAATATATATACTACTATATATACATAAACCTAATATTCTCACACCCCCGTTCAAACTCAAGGTGTTTTAGCAGAAACACTGAGAGTTTGGCAAGAAGAAACTGAAACCAAGCAGTGGTGTGTCGTGGTAAAGAACTCAGCGAGTTGCAGAATCGAAGCGACGAAAAGAAGCGAAATAGAGCCAGATTACAAATGTTGACAGACAAAGTGACAATCAATCTCAATGTGTTTCGTCTGCTCATGGAAGACGGTGTTATGGGCAATCTGAATAGCATTGTGGTTACCACAACAGAGGGAAGTTAGAGAAGACTAAGGGACACCCAAATTAGTTAAGAGACAACGAAGTCAAACAATCTCAGCAGTAGCATGAGCTATAACATGGTACTCAGCTTCGACAATAGAGCGAGTAACAACAGTTTGTTTCTTACTTTTCCAAGAGATCAAGGAATCGCCAAAAAACATACAGAAACCAAATGTGGACTTGCGATCAGTAACATCACTTGCTCAACAGAATTAGCATAGGCCACTAAGTCCAGAGAGGAGGTAGATGACAATAGCAAATCCTGAAATATAGTACCTCGGAGATAGCGAAGAATCCGAACCAATACAGCCTAATGTATGGATTGAGTAGCAGAAACAAACTGGCTAACCACGTGAACAACATAGACAAGATCAGGATGAGTAACCGTCAGATAAACTAAGCAATCCACGAGTTCTCGATATAAAGTAGGATCAGGCAAAAGAACACTATATACTCAATCCCTAACATATAAAGTAGTATGCTCAATCCCTAATATATACAGAATGTATATACTACCATATATACATAAAGCTAATATTCTCACAGTTACTTCTAAATTGTTCCTAGTTGATTCCTTTCTTGACTAATTTGTTTTTTCGTGTAATAGAGTTCATCGATCTCAATATTCATTTTTTTAGTTAAACTTATTTCTTGAACGTGTTTTTTTCTTAACCAAGTAACATTTGGCACCACATATCACATAGATCTTATACAAGCCTTATAAAATTCTTGTTTCTACTTAATAGGAATCTTATGATTACACAACACTCTTGATGCACTCATCCATTTCATCCATCTCGCTCTAATTATGTGGACCATCTCCTCCGCAATCTCTCTATCTTGATAGCGTTCCCAATTTTGCACAGTTCATTCCCCATCTCCAATTTAGCTGAAGTGGAATTGTACTATGGAAAGACATCCTTTATAACAAAGACTTGACTCGGAATAAAACTGGATGCATCAATTGAAAGTTGGAACCAATGACCTAACCTAACAAATATGTTTAAAGAGGCAATGAAATAGTTGAGTGAGAGAATTTGACATACTAAACAATGGTAGGATGACAACATTTCCCATCATGTCCTAAATTAATCAACCTACATTTTGAAAATAATTTGAAGGCTCTACAAAATAAAAGCATGCAGTGGAAGGGGCATTTCCGGTATAAAAAAATGTTTCATTTATCAACAAGCTCATGAATTCAAAATTTAAATAGGGTTGTTGCATCATAAAGCATTTGAATGAGGTTTAAGCATTGTATCCTAAACATAACAAAATGGTATTGGATTAGAAATTTCAAGAATTTCATTTTTGAACTCATTTTCTGACAAATGCATCATCTGCAGATCAGGCAATCTGAGTCCAGCCCAAAAATTTGTAGGGCTTGGACAATGTTTTAAGCCTTCAGGCTCAGGCCTGGGTAGAATTCTTCATCACGATTTAATTTCAGTGGGTCTAGACAAGATGTTCAACAAACCGAGCAACCCGAGGCCAAATTCATATATTTATATTCAACTCTAATGACCATGCCCATGCCATGTTTTACATCTCAAAAATATAATAATAAACAGAAATATTTGTACACATTAAAATATTCTTTTTATAAGCGTACACATTAACATATCACCAAAACCTGCCTCTTATCTTATGAGGTAGGGGACAAAAGAAAGAGATTTTTAGTTTTTCTTCGTTGTCTATTTCTTTCTTTGTTCTACTTGTTTGGCTAAAGAGCTCTTTTGATACTCCCCCCTCTTCTCTCCAACTACTCTTTGCCTCTCCCCTCTTGCTTTCCCTCACCTGTATCCTCAGTGTTTTTAAAAGAAAAAGACACAGTGACGAAGCCAGAAATTTTGTTTAGTGGGGTTAATAAACAACTGATTTTGAATAATATTGTATCAATGGTTTTGACTACATAAACAAGAATTTTCATGAAACCCTACTGTTCAATAATTCTATAAAAAAATTGTTAGAAAAATTGTCATGAAGGAATCCAGTACAACTTTAGTATATATATAACCTTGAAAGATTTGAAAGTTTTAAATACTGAATAAATTTATTTCAATTGAAAATATTGGTGTTTAGACTATTTGTTTACTCATCTATTGTAATAGGTTTACTGTCCCAACAAACTTAGCTACCATTAAAATTTGCAATTATCTTGCAATAATGATACTAATATAACACTAGAAGAAATTGCCTATTTTGCTAGCAACGGTAACAACTAATATAACTACCTATATAAAATTTGAACTTAATAATTTTAAATTGTAGAATCGCTATGCTTTTTTGAAATTGAGATTGTAATAAGTCATTTTTTAAAATCTTAAACATATAACATAAAATTTTGAACCACTCCCACCATTTTTCAAAATTCCAGTGGGGTCATTTGAACTGACTAAAATATATGTCGTTCTGCCCTTGTTGAGGTGCCAAGGTGTCCTAGGGCCTAAGTGTGAGGTGCGAGGTGAGGTGCAAGTTGTAGAAAATAAGCAAAATTTTAACATAGGTGAAATTCTAAATATAAGCAATTATTTCTAGAATTCCAAAAATCATAAAACGTAACCTTCCAACATAGCATCCAACAGCAAAAATTAAACATGAATTGTGAATGTAACAGCATGCCAATTAAGCAAAAGCCATTTGAGATATCAGCTTAACTTATATTGGTGAACTGTGAATGTAACTGAGGGTACAAAAACAGAGGAGAAAGAAATAACATTGAATAGCAATTAAGCATGATCAATTAACAGCAACAACAACATGATCAACAGCATGTCAATTAAGAAAAGAATCATAAACTTAAAACAGATTAGACAGAAAGAAACGAAGGAGAAAGAATAAGAAATTTTAATTTGACCATAAATTTGAAAACCCCTAAAAGTCCAACATCCAGTAGCATCCCACCCAAAAATTTGAGTCCAGTGTGTCACTTAAAAAAAAAGATAAGGAAAAGACTAGAGATAGGTGGAGAAGGAGGAAAGGACCCGACCTCTGTTTCCTGGCCGGAAGAAGAAGAAGAAGAAGAAGAAGAAGAAGAAGATGCTGATGATGATCAAAAACTTGAGAAATCAAACTTACCTGGAGATTTCTTTGTTTAATTCAAAGTGAGGTACAGTTCACAAGCTGCTCAATTTTCTGTCCAGCAGTGGGTTTGTTATTCAGGTTTGTGTCTTCAATTTCTTCAATTTGACAATTTGTCTTCGATCACTCTGTTAGTTCTTCAGACTTGTGTCTTTTATTTTTCATTTTTAATTTTTTTTATGCATCTAAGCTGCCATCTGGCTATGTCCTCACCTCAGGGGGTTTGTGTCGCATAGAATGCACCTCGCACCTAGGCATGCCTTCTAGACACTACATCTCATCCTCACTCTCGTCTGCACTTCTCAATTCAATCTGGGTTTGGGGAATAAGAAGAAGATGATGGAGGGCTCAATAGCTGAAAGAGATATATCAATGGCATTTGAGTCTGTGAAGGAAGTAGCGATTCAATTCAGTGGAACCCATTACCACAAGTCCTGAGAAGCCTCTCTCTCTCTCTCTCTAATATATATATGAATTTGTGTGATGCAGTACGCAAGTAGTTTTTCTCTTTTTTCTCATTTGAACCTTCTTCCTCTTGATTTCTTTTTTTCAATTTTCTTTTCTTTTTTTCCCTTTTTTTTTTTTTTTTTTTTTTTTTGGGCTTGTTCTGGGACAAATCTTGATTGTGATTTTTTGGGCAACCCAAGCCAACCCCAGTTCAATAAATTGAGCTCAGGATGGGCTTCGGCGTTTTAGGTCGAGTTTGGCAAGCATGGTACACCTCGTTCTGGGCTTGATCAAACCCCTAGCCCACTCAAACCCCTAGCTTGATCAAACCCACTTAGTTGCAACTTGCAAGCATTCAAACAAAATAATCAGAAGTTTTCTTAATCAATTTTCAAATTAGAAGCTATTGTATAGAATTTTGCATAGGAGACGCAACATTTTCCTTCATCAAAACTTGTTTTGTTCTAAAAAATCCTTTTTTTTGGGTGTGTGTGTGTGGAGAAGGAAAGTTCCCTTATTAATATTGTATTAATGTGACAATCATTCCAACTCCAGGCCCACAAGCAATGCTGGGATCTCCTTCCACTTGGAGCTTCTAATTCCAACAACAGTATAACAAAAATGGTTTAGCAGGTGAACGCAAATTTTGGTGTCTGTGACTTCAGTTTTAATACATCATCAGCATCTAACAGAAAAGCAAGCTGTGACTTTTTAAGCTGCGAATTAAATTGTTATGAACAACATCAGCGTCTAATAGAGAACCATGCAGTGTAAGCATGAAGCAGATTTTTTGATCAGTATAAGCATGAAGCAAATCAAACAAAAAATATATATAATTTTTATATACAAATATATGTCAAACACAGAATTTAGTCAACAACCCATTTAATAATAGTCAAGTGATAAGACACAATAATATGATATGTTTTTGCAGGTGATGATTCTCTGACTTCAATGTTCCAGAAAACGAAGTCAAATAATTTCACTCCTTCTGAACATCGAAACAAGCCCTCCCATTTCCCATTACATCTTATATGCAAACCAAGAAAGTTTGCAAAAGAAGACTCTGCATTTCAGCTATTACTCTACACAACTGGAGAAAAAAAAAAAACAATACAATTCAGCATTAAGTACCTCTAAGACTTTCCACAGATTGAACAACAACTCGAAGCTCGTTAATGATTTGATGTCGTGCCAACCGATCGTCTCTCAAGGGATTGACCACACGAAGAATTTCGCTGAGAGTGAGCTCCAATGTACTATAGGCACTCATTTTTTTAGCACTAAATAACGTTGAAGCTGGTTGATGCAACTGATCATTCAAAAACTCAGGTGTAAGAATGTTTGCATACGCTGATCAGAGATAGATGCACACATTAGAAGCAATGAAATCCTACATAGAAAAGCCAATTACCTATATTGGGAAATTGAATGTCATAGGAAATGAATCTCAGAATGATCCACGAAAGCAAAGCCTCAAAAACCTTTTGAAATAGCGACCATGACCAAAAGTTGAGAGGAATTATGAAGAAGAGGTCTCAATGACAAATTCCATCTGAAAAAGAGAAGGTCAAGTTAATTTATTTTAAACTTAAATGTTGGTATTGTTCAAAATTAAGCTTATCAAAATAAATGTGTTGAGAAACCTGCTAAGTTTGACTGTGTGGACATAAACAAGAAAGGAAAAATACACCTTACTTGAAGATGGAGTATCCATGTGGATCTACAATCACAATTAAAATACTCACGTTCAGCTGCATCAATGCAATGACGTCTACAATATGTAACGGGTGGTTGTTTGGGCAAGAATAATGGATGGGATAATGTACTTATATTTTTATTTGATATGATTACAGCTTACATTAAACTAAAAATTAAAAATTAAAATATATATACCTACAAAATATGTTTTCAAATAATTGATGAATTTCCAGAGCAAGGAAATTCACTAGCCATCATAATGGAGGGTGTTCTTGTTAGGCACAATGCTTATCTATCCTTCCCATGAAGTTAAAGAAAACAATCAAGAGTGAAGAAATGCCAAGCAACTAAATGTATACAGCACTATGCACCACAACAACAACGAAAAAAATCAGGATTACATTTATCTAAATGAAAATGATCAACACTTACTAAACTGTTCAGAAAGAGAAATGAGCTCTATAATTTTTGTCCATGAAGAAACCGAAGGAGTAATAAGCCTTAAGATTAGAATGTGATCACCCAAATTCAATTAACATTTCCAAGATCATCCAGGAGAAATATACCTTCACTCTTGACCCATGGGGAATTGGTGAAGAACCATCAGCATTGTTTGGTAAAAAGATCTCCCAGACACCAAACTCATTCTGTCCATAAACTATCAATAAGTTTCAAAGTCACCAAACAACATCAAACAAAGTTAATTTAGAAAATGGCATGAAAATGGTAAAAGCACTAATGCTCTGCAGATACTGATAGGAGATTTTCAATTTTATAAAGGAAAAAAAATGCTCATTCACTGGCCACCCTTTTAACCCAAGAAAATCCTACATAATAATGTGCTAAAGATTTATCCCCCCATTAGACATAAGCAACCCTAAAGGCTGTTGTCAATGTTAGAATAGGAAATAAGTGATTGTATTTTCTTCTTATTTATTCCCTTGATTGGTGTAATGGGTTGGCCCATATATTGTGCCTAATGGCACTCTTGTAATTACTTAGTATTATTAATATAAAAGGGAATGAAGTCTAACTCATTCCCTAACTCTTTCTCTTCTCTAAGCTTACATAGTATTGGAGCCATCACCTAGCCAACTCTTCTTCTCTGTTACCCATCACTATAGGTGATCTCCTCTCTCTTGTAGACCAGACGACAACCCCAAATAGGTCTCCCAACCTTGTCTAACCCCGACAGCCTCCACCCAGGTCTCCCAGTCCCTTCTCTCCCTTCGACAGCCGTCACCCAGGCTTCTCTCTCCCTCGGTAGGCCTCTCCAGCCACTACCGAGGGTTCCCAGGGGGCCGACCAGCCTTCTTGCTGGTCTGGTTGAAGTCCTCTAGTGATGCAATACGAAGTCGTCTCTTACGTAGTGGACTGGTGATGTTATACACAGTCTTCTGGTAAGGTACAAACAGTACTGCAGCAGACTAAAAAAAACAAAAAACAAAAACAGAACTCTGGTGATGTAAAAGTAGTACAAAAACAAAACCACATTGGATTCTTCATTCTTTATGCTTTTATAGTTACTGTTGTGCTTGTTACTCCACTCTTACCTTCTGGATTTGTGATTAACATCGTGTTTGAGAAATAATTAGTAGAATCTTCATAGTGGATTTGACCAGTGAATCTACTACCTCGCAGCCATCTCAGGGGCAAGAGTTCTGTTATCCCTTCCACTATGACTGATAACCTCCACACTGGCCTTAGCATCACCACCTCTCTATTCAATGGTCAAAATTACCTAGTGTGGTCGCAGAGTCTGACTACTTTCTTGAAGAGTAAGGAGAAGATGGGATATGTTGATGGGCGGGTTCAGATATCCAGTATCACCGACCCTCATTATGACCAATGGGAGATCACCAATTCTCTAATTATGGGTTGGTTGATCCATTCTATGGTTCCCGAGATTGAGAGGGCTACTTGTTTATGGACACTGCCCAGGATATTTGGGAGGCAGTAGCAACTACTTACTCCAAGAAGGAGAACTTCTCACAGGTTTTCGAGTTACGTCGCTCCATTGAAAGGTCTGTACAAGGTGAGTAGACTATCCTTCAGTATTTTACCTTCCTTAGCAATGGGTGGAAGCGACTTGATCACCTTCAAGATTACAAGCATGTCTGTCCTACTGATTCTGCTGGTTACCAGAAGTTTATGGCGAAAGAGCGGGTCTTCAAGTTCTTGGAAGGCCTAAATGTGGAGTATGATCCGGTTCAGAGAAGAATACTTGGCATGGATGTGCTTCCTTCTCTCCAGGAAGCCTTTGCTTTTGTGCAGAATGAGTAGAGTCACCGTTCTGCGATGCTTTCTTTTGCTACTACTGATCGCTCAGCCTTAATTTTTGCACCCACTTGCGATGGCGACCGTGTGACTCGTGGTTTTCGTCCTTCCTTTGAGAAGGATAATCTTTATTGTGACTACTATCGTCGCCCTCGCCACACACGAGAGACTTGTTGGAAGCTGCATGGTGAGCTAGTTTATGCATGCTCCTAGAACTTCTCACTTAGAGGTAGTTATTAGAATCCTGAGATACCTAAAGTCTTCTCCTGGAAAGGGTTTCTATTTCTCAAAACATGGTCATCTCAGTGTGGAGGTATTTATTAATGCAGATTAGGCTGTATTAATCACTGATACACGATCAACTTTTGGATACTGCACATTTGTTGGTGGCAACCTAGTCACATGGTGAAGTAAGAAATAGAATGTGGTTGCTAAATCTAGTGTTGAGGCAGAATTCAGGACTATGACTCAGGGTGTATGTGAGTTACTATGGATTAAACTATTGTTGGGAAACTTGGGAATCCATTAGACTGACTCCATGCGACTATACTGTGACAACAAGGCCGCAATCAACATAGCTCATAATCCAGTTCAACATAATAGAACTAAGCATGTGGAGATTAATAGGCACTTCATCAAGGAAAAACTCACTAGTGACATCATATGTATTCCATTTGTGAAGACTGGAGATCAACTAGCCGATGTTCTCATCAAGGGGCTAGGGAGCAAACCATTTCATGGCGTTCTCAACAAGCTAAGCATGAGAGATCTTCGCATCAGCTTGAGAGGGAGTGTTAGCATAGGAAATAAGTTAGAATAGGAAATAAGTGATTGTATTTTCTTCTCATTTATTCCCTTGATTGGTGCAATGGGCTAGCCCTTATATTATGCCTTATGGCACTCCTATAATTACTTAGTATTATTAATATAAAAGGGAATGAAGTCTAACTCATTCCTTAACTCTTTCTCTTCTCTAAGCTTATAAGAGTGGCATATTCGCTGGCGATAGAAAACATAGAGCCATAATCATCTCCCATGAAAATAGAGAAGTCATAATCACTGATTCGCCGATGATGGCCTTCCCTATATTTGCTGGAGAAAGAACTTTGATCTGTGAAGATAATGGGGCTTGGGATTTTGTTATTTAGAAATTTTGTGAGTCCAGAGAGAAATGGATGAAATTGAAAGAGTGAAAGACTTAAAGAAGAGAGAGATCTAGAAATTTAAGATTATTTGTAGAGTTTTGTTTAGAAATTTTGGAACAGGGAAGTGCTTTAAGAGTTTATGTGAGAGAGAGAGGAGGTGAGTTGGTGGTGGAATTAATGTGGAGGCTTAAAAATAAAAAATAAAAAATAAAAAATTAATTGTGGAGTCAAAAGGTCAAGTCTTGTCTTATGAAGACAAAAAGATGCGGAGTCAAGTGAAAGTGACAAGGTGAAGTGATATCTTTGGGAAGAAAACAAAATAAATAGTTATCTTTTGACTCAAATAAATGGTGAGAATCGAAACGATACATAAAATATATATATATATATTGGTCAGTTCGGGTTAAATCATTTTTTTCTCTTACAAACTGCCACTACACCGAACCTAAGAAATTTTTGAGAATTTTCAACTGTGGCCAACCGTGCACAATGTCGAAACCGTTTGTGAAGCCTTTGGGTTGGTCGGATAGGATCAGACCCCTACAAGCAACCCATCTCCCATGACCCATGAAGCATGAGCACTTCGAAATCAAAGGTCGGTTGTAAAGCTTAGGTATTTTCCTCCCTTTAGTTCAGAATCTGCTGTTAGGGTGGATATGCCGCCTAGAAGCCAACATGATAAGTGGGAGGCTTGTCTTGTAAGCCATTTCCTTGATAGAATCTTACCCTTCAACTATGTCAAATCTTATGTATTTTTAACCTGGGGAGGGGTAAAAGGTTGAAAGAAGTCATTGCCACCAACAATGGTTTCATTTTCTTCATCTTTGATATGAAGAATTGAATAAAATAATGAAAGGAAGATAGAAAGAGAAGAGAGGAGAGAAACAGCCGTAGAAGAAAAAGAGAGAATGATTACATTAGGGTTCTCTTCCCTATTCTTTATTATTTATACTTATAAGAAAAAAAATACAATATTGCCCTTCCCCCTCAAGTTGGGGCAAAGATATCATGAATGCCCAACTTGTCAAGAATAGAGTAAAACAACATACTAGACACTCCTTTGGTCAAAATATCTGCAAGTTGATCTCCTCTCTTGACAAATTTGGTACAAATTATACCCTCATTCAGTTTCTCTTTGATGAAGTGTCTATTAACCTCCACATGTTTTGTAGATTGGGCAAGATCCATCACTGACCAAAATTCTATCTGCAAACCTTTGCAGGATCCATCACTGATGATTTGTAGATTGGGTAGGATCCATCACTGACCAATAATCCACTTCAGGATATTGCACCTTTGTAGGCGGTAATCTTGTGACATGACATAGCAAGAAGCAATCTGTGGTTGCCAGGTCGAGTGCGGAGGCAAAATTTAGAGCAATGGCTCATGGAATATGTGAATTGATGTGGTTGAAGTCACTTTTGAAAGAGTTAGGTTTTGATCAGAAAATCTCTATGAAACTATGTTGTGACAATAAAGATGCAATTAATATTGCACACAATCTAGT